TAATATTTGCTATGAAAAACAGTAACCTGAAGACATTCAGTATAAGTACAAATGCACAACAAACAACTGATACGACTTAATAACAAAAATACTGTGATTATATTCCATTACTTCTTTAATATATTTAGTACATTATTAATATAATAAAATTCAATATGAATATTCTACTTTTCTGCCACAATACCATGGTTACTGTCAATGTTATTATAGTAAAACCATGGTAAATGTTGGTGATTTGTAAATTGAAACGCCTTCTAACTGGATCGTTGTTGCACAGGTGTTTCCGCATCAGTTGTTGAGAATGATCCAGCTCTGATTTATTTGGCTTTAAACTAGTTTAAATCGCACACCTATGTGATTTGTACTGGAGAACTCTGCACTGAACTCGAGCGCGATCACTGTTTAGTGGTCTCGTGATTGTGACTGGTCAGTGTAGTAAATGCATTCACTTTAGCTCACACTGCGCTCTCTTTTCTTTTGAGCTGAGCTGATAAAAGGTCCATGTGATCCGCGGTTTCAAAAGAGAAGGGCTATTTCGTTTCGCGTTTGGCGTTTAATATGTATTTATCATGCACAACAGAATACTAACACTTATCAGTTGAGCAGATTGGTAGTGGTACCAGCGCATCTTCTTACAAAATTTAGTGTCACCGGCAGAAAAAAAAGTAGCAAAATATACATTTAGTCGCAGTCTGGAGCCCTGATAGACTACTGTCAATTACACTTTTATTTAATTTAGAGATGCACCAATTGCAACTTTCTTAGCCGATTCCGATTTCCTTTTTTTTTTTTTTTTTAAGTGTGACCTGCTGATACTGATTTTTGCCGATTGCGATTTTCTTTCTAAAAACTATAATTGACAGCATATTGTCAGCACACAAAGAAAAATGTATACTTTTTGTAATGCAAAAAATGATTTGCATAATAAATTATTAAACATAAACAAAGCTACAGATGTTCTCTCACTTAAACAACTCTCAAAATAAAGTGCTCTGTGACTAGAAAAAAGGTAGAAATTGCAATTAACTGAAAAGGAGTTGCTGTACTGTTTAACAAAACAGATGTCATTTCACACTGTTTCTGCCGTTCATGCGGAAAACCGGCTTATTCCAGTCCCTGGCTGGTCGATCGGTGCATCTTTAATTTAATTGTTTATTTTATTTAATTGCCCTATCTTGGCATTGTACGGATATGATTTAAAAACATTTTTATATATAAAATTATTAGTGGGACATTTTTTACATCTTTATTTGACCTCAAAGCATATCAGCAACCCCCGTGAACTCTGGCACCCCTGACCCCAGGTTGGGAACCACTGATCTATGCAATTCTTGAAAAGTCATTGCATGGGCTCCTACTTTCAGCTACAGAATCCAAGAGCTACATGTTTTATCAATCAAAAACTGTTTTAGTGCTGCACAAGTCATCACAGACTGAGACGTTAATGGCAAGCATCTGTTACCTATTTTCTATATATAGTGCCAAAATTCTGTTCCTTCATTGTGTGTTTATTGATCTAGACTCTGCAGACCTGCACCAGATGTTCCCAACCCCTCCGTCACTGGAGCAGCACATCATCATGGGCTACTCTCCTATAAACATGGGCAATACGGAATCAGCAGCTGGCCTTTCTCTCCTGGATGGGGCCATCAGCGGGAACTTCAAGATGGAGGTGGAGGAGGGTTTCTGCAGCCCCAAACCCTCAGAGATTAAGGTAGGACTTAATTACTGCTGTCAATTCCCAGGGATATTTTCATGAAGATGTGATGCAAGACTCTGTTTCTTTATCTTATCTTCAGGACTTCTCCTACGTGTTTAAACCAGAGTCCTGCCAAGCGCTTGTCGGCTGCTCCCTTTACGCCCCTCTGAAGATGCTGCCCAGCCAGTGTCTGCTTCCCATCAAGCTTCCAGAAGAGTGTGTGTACCGGCCCAGCTGGACAGTCGGCAAACTGGAGATGCTGCAGCCGATGGCAGCCATGACCTTCCTCAATAAGGACAGGTACAACAGCCAAGAAATCAGGGATTTTTCTTCATCCCTAGCAGATTTTAGTGTTTCACAGTGTTGAATGTTCTTTTGCAACAAACAAACCTTTAATGATACATTGAGTAATTCAAGCTTTCATCAGCTTGTTGGCATGTATGGCAACCTAAAAGGCTTTTACACAGATTGATTATTTAGGAGGGGGGAGGGGGGGGGGGTCGTGCATATTTAGCAGGTGGTAGTTGAAGTAAGTAGGTCAGGTTTTTAACAAGCCCAGAACACACTCTTCTCTGCTGTTTGTGGTCCAAGCAGCTGCCATCCCAAAATAGACATTCAATATTAATGATTAACAGCCTTAACTGAGGAATGTGTCCAGGGCATTGAATTAGAATTTAGGATGTGTACCTGGATCTAACTACAAAAAAACGAACAAAAACAATTTTGCAGCAACTTACTAACTGTTTCCAGTGTTATTTTAGTGGCTTAATGAAGTCAGTTCCCACAGGTGACTCAGTTCCGAGCAGACTAACCACAGGTGAACTTTCACTTAAACTGTCAGAGGAGGAAAGAGACGCTGATTCACTGGTTGTTGTTTTTTTCTCAAATGACTAAGGCTTGTGAATTTTCTGGTTTGATACAGAGTAGTATGCAGTGTTTAAAAAATGGCACAGTATGGCATGACAGTATGCACTTACACCGTTTAAACAAACATACCCAGAAGCCCCAGGTCAGTTTCTTAGCAAAGAAAATTTATGAAAGGCTGAATATGGTTTATTTTACATTACACAACGTTACTGTAATTAACTGTTTGCCCACCTAATCTCGTTCTATTTGACCGGCCCGAGCAGATCAACACTACAGTCTTATATATATATATATATATATATATATATATATATATATATAAAACTTATATATATATATATAAGA